CTGTTGAGCAGATCGGTGGTGTCTTTAATGAACGATGGTAATTTACGAGCCAATGGTTGCAAGTAAAATTCAGTGAAGGCCGAGAGATTTTCTATTGCCGTACCGCAGCAAGACGTGATGAGCCTAAGTGGGTTCCCTGCCTTATGGGTTTTGACATTTCCGAAGGCAACCCCTGGTTTTGCTTCCTTGTTAATTATCCAATTAGCTACTTGGTTTGAAATTTCCCCTGACCCATTTGTCACACCAGCTCTCAACTAAATTCAAATGTCTAATAGGACGATCCTCCTGCAAGGATTTATAATGCAATTGGTTTTGAAGCTGGCCGAACATTTTATCCTTGTATTCCTCTTTCTCGATTAAAACAAAACGAGAACCCTTATCCTGCATTCAAATTACTACATCAGAATTTCTTAATTGTTTTAAAGCAACTCGTTTTCCTTTGGTTAGGTTATCCCTTGCTAATTTGATATTCTGAGGGTTTATTAAATCCCGCCTAGTACTAGATATAAAAAGTTCAAGTTCCGGATACCTTGACGGTGGTGGATACCAACTTCGGATACCATGTCCTCATCATTCGCATTTTCACCGCTACAGATGTCAGGCTATTACCTTCTACATCATCCTTAACCTCGCCAAGGCCAGGTTTAAAATAGTCTTCTTTAGCCGAATCCAAACTTTGTCTTTTGAAAATAATGTAGAGATATTCCCGAGTTTGAATGTCCTCGTTGAATGGTCAGAACTGAGAAATCGACTTTTTTTTTTTTAAAGAAACGTGATCTTTATCACATATTCATTGCAGTAAAAAAACTATGCGCTTGTTTTTACTCAAGTTTGCAAATTCCCTATAGGACCCTGTAGCTAATGACATTAACTTGTTCGTATAATGACCAGAATTAGGCGAAGTGTGAAAGGTATTGCAAATGATCTCGTAAAAGCTCAGTCACAGCTAATTTTATGTGCCATACTTTAATCAGTTACAACTTAGCATGAAAGGTTAACCAGTACTTCATTTAAACTTGAATTATCATGAGTATAAATTGTTTGGTTCGCTCTAAATTCCAATTATTCAAGTCATACGGACACATTTCTTATAGAACTTCCAACAGTGCTTATTCTCCTATTTTAGAATGAAGCAGGGTTAACTCGCAAAGGTGATTGGAGGTGAAATGGCAATGGGGCGCATTCACGCGTTACCCCGTCAAGCACCACGCTGTTTTGCTTAACTTCTCAGTACCAAATCTCGTGATAATTTCGGGGGCGAATTTTTCCACCCACGCGCGTGCACACACTACCATAGCGTGTATACAGCACGTGTGCGTAGTGGCAATAGCAGGCACTGCGTCCTTCATTAAGAAAACATTGTGTTGCTCAGTAAAACAAAGACAAAGGCAATCGATAAAAGGCTTTATTTCTTGGAATCAAACACTCTAGAGGCAGAAATCAAATTCATACGAAACCCTGTTCTCCAAAGCTTTTAAACGTAATTATAACCAAGCCTTACCCAAAAAACAAAAAAGTAATTTGTAGCGGTAGTGGAGTGAAATTTTGTAATCACGGGTTTGATTTCGCATCAAAAGGGGGCAAAACGCAGTTAAGTTACCACTTTGTTACATCGTCCATTTTGAAATCGCTAAATTCAAGCGCCCAAATACAGGATTTTAGTCGATTTATCCAGTACTGAGCTGGTTTTTAAAAAGTAGTAGCCTGCAAGCAAACACTTTTAAAAATCGGTATGCTGTGAATTCACTCTCCAGATCGTCTGCGTTAGATAACCAGTAGAATCATTTGACATCTCGATTGGCTTGGTCCAGGTTAACATGTAAAAATGCCTTTTCAATGTCTGCAGTTATGGCATACTGGTGGAGACGGAAGCGAAGAAGTATACCATTAAGGTCATTCAGAAGCGGAGGACCTGGTTGTAGGAAATCATTCAAGCTCGGTTGTTCACTTCGTTTGAAGCTGCAGTCATACACAATGCGTAGAGGAAATATGGTAGAGTCCTTGAGAACAGCATGATGAGGTATGTAATAATACACTCCGTTGGTTGTATCTAGATTGTTCACCCTTTCTATAAGGCCTCGATACTGTTGGTCTTGTATGATGTCATCGTACATGCGTAGTTTCTCAGAATTGGCAGCTAGTTTTCTAATCATGGTGCGGGTTCTCTGTTTAGTGAATTCTGCATTTGACGGTAGAGGAGGGTGTTCTGGTCGCCATGGTAACCTTGCACTGTAACAACTATCCTTAAACACGATAGACGAGTCTTGATAATCCTTCAGAAAGTCCGACGTTTTTTCTGAGGAGTTTGGTTGAACACCAACTGATTCGATCTGCCAGCGTTCCAGATCAAATTCTTCTTGTTGATGTTCAGTCACAACATTTGAAATAGAAGTGTTGAGGCGTTCTGAATGACCACTGGTTGAGAGGGGGCCTGAGAAGAGGTACCCTATCTTTGATTTGGTCGCTCTGGGACCTGGACCCTTGATAACTTCGTTTTTCACGACGTCCCAATAATGATCAACACCGATTAGGATATCAATTGTGAAGGGTGAATCATTAATGTTAATGTGTGCTAATGACTGGCCGTTAAGATATGGTAAGTCCTTTACATTGATACCAGTGTAAGTAGTTAGGGGTGCAGCTATCGTTGGTGCAATGATCACTTGAATTGGAATCTCTCCTCTTGAGCGGTTTCAAGATAAATGGTAGCAGTGTTAATGCTTTTGACAGATGAAGTGTTCCCACCGAAGGTTGACAGAGATAATGTCTCTTGTTCTTCTGGTTTCAGATCAAGTTTGGTTGCTACATCTGATGTAATGAAGGAGCGTTGGGAACCCTCGTCGAATAAAATGTGCGCACTAATGTGACTGTTGTGACTTCCAACAGAAGCAACAGCTGTTTTCAGTAGAATGGGCGTGTGTTTGTTAGTATCAACAATGTGGTAGGATGACACTGAAGGTACTGTAGTCTTGCCTGTGATGGGCGTACCTGGAACTTCGTTTGTAGTTGCTGGTTCAGTGGATGACACTGTGGAAGATGGTTGTACATTTTGGCAAAGACTGGTATGATGTTTTCGATGGCATGCCTTGCAGCGGTTCCGTGATTTTCATTTAGATACTGAATGACGATTAAGACAATTAAAGCATACCCTTGCTTCACGGACTATGGAATATCTCTTTCCCCAATCAGTCACAACGTTGCAATCAATCGGACTGTGTTCGCCTTTACAGAAAAGGCATGTTCGCCTGGTGGAGCGTTGATCAGTAGGAGAAGGGTGAACATGTGCATGTAGCTTTGAAGTAGTGAGAAATGTGGCAGTTGTTGAGTTATTACTGAGTTTATAATCACTAGAACTGTTCTGACCTGCTTGTAAGATTTCAATTTCATTCAGGATTGCCTTGCGTGAATCATTAAGTTTCCACTCCTTGTTTACATTTTGTCTTGCTAGATTTCTCTTAATTCCATTAGGTAACTTCTTCTGAATGATGGGGACAAGAATTTCTCGATAAGTTTCTGTTTTCTTCCCAAGTGACTCAAGTCCTCTGATGTGAGTCTCAACCGAGTCGTGGAAAAACCTCAAAGTACTTAAATGATCAGTGGGTGATGGAAGGTTGAGTAGTAACTCCATGTGCACATGGATGATCTTGTGGGGTTGAGCGAATCTCTCTTTCAATAACTGGATACTCTTACCGTCATTGGCACTGGTTAATGGTAACCCGGCAATGACTCTTTCAGCTCCGTCATGTAGTTGTGTTCTCAAACAATTGAACCTTTGGACATCACTGATTGAGGACTTATCGTGTACTGCAGACCGTAAAGGGTCCCAGAAAGATTGCCATTCAAGCGGATTTCCATCAAACGATGGCAATACAAGCTTAGGTAAACGATTAGTTTGAAATGTACTCACCGGCGGTGGTGTAATCGGAGGATTCTCTGTCGAGGCGACTGTGTTACTTTGAAAGTCGTTACCTGGCGTTCCAGTCGACGGGGGTGAATTAGATTGTTTATTTTCTTGTTCCGTTTGCGACGTAGAAGGAATGGGTTGCTGACTTGGTTCTCCCATTTGCGGTGAATCTTGTAAAATACTGATATTTTTAGGAAACAACAAATGTTGACTGAGACTTCCTTTTGTGAGTTCAATTAAATTGTCAGTGACGCAAATTTTCTCCAAGATAAGGCTGTCTAGTCCCTCTGCATTCAATATTTCTACTTCGAATTCTTTACGAGTTTCCAGTAAATTTATTATCTTATCGTTAAGTTCCTTAGGGGTTTGTCTCTTTTGCTTCAACTGGTCAACGAGCGCTTTGAGAAGAACGATCTCATTGTTGGTAATTTTGTCTTCTGCAATGTCGTCGATTTTCTGTCTCAACTTGGTTAAATGTGCTTTGTGTGCTCCCCTTGAGGCTAACAGTTTCATCAATTCTTCTTCCATCCTGGTCACGTCACCAAAAATATGAAGAAGCAGTTAATATAAAAATGTTAGGAACTCAACTGTATTTCAGACATTATAAACAATGGTGGTCGTGTTAAAAACGATGCGGAAAACGTGTTCAGTACTTTTCCAAGTCAGGTGACGTAAACAATGACGAGACTTCAATACAATCATGACCGCTGACCGGAAGTAACTCGAAACTAAATAAACGTTCGAAAACACTGTTCAAACTATTTCACAAATAATCGTTACGGTGGCCAATTTACCATTTCAACTTTGTTGATATATCCAAACTATTTATGTCCATAAAAGCAGGTGTCCATATTAAGATATTTAATATCTGATAATGTCTGTAAATCAGGATTCCATTGTATGTAAAACCGATGATGGATACTGTACATGATGTATACAGTTCACACATCATGTACAGTACGTGAGTAAAAGAAGGCTG